TATTACTAATACCAACGTCATCACTAAAAAAATTTGTGCTAACTTCTAAATGGTACCAATCGATACAGCTGGTTTAGTTGTTGAGAAAAACTATGATCACACCTTTAAATATTCCGTCTGAGAGCCGCACAACTTCTTGAAAAATGATTATTCCGAATAATAATAGACCATCATGACACAAGAACAGTTATACAACTTTCTTAATCTCATGAAAAGGTACAGTAGGTTGAGCTGTTATGAAAACTCACGTTTATACATCTTCCACTTTTATCATAGGTCAGCACAAACTCATGAAAGATTTGATAGTTACTGATAGAACACTATCTGGAAAAACAATTTGTGCTAAGTTTTGAATGTCAATAATCAATACAGCATCTCAAATTGTTGCGAAAATGCATCTTTGTAGTTTTTCCGATGCTGTAGGGAACTATGCAAACTCAAAAATGATTATTCAAGCTATAGAAAATTTTATTCAAAAATCTCCTGTAGATATGATACTCATGTTGAGACTATATGAAGTTGAATTAGGAAAAACGTTAACTGGTGAAATTATTAGTCAACTTTATATAATCTTCAAAACAAAATATACTTCACGTGGCAGTTCATATGATATTGAAATGCCATAAGTTGTTAGTTTTTTTTATGATTTCATAGGCGTGTGTGTTTATTATTTGTATTGTCTCTATTTCTAATAAAATCCAACAGAGCAAAAATAGTCTTTACACTGACATACAGTACTGTTAAAAACAGAGAAAATCAATATCTGATCTAAACACTTTAAAAAATTAAGACACTTAAATAAGATAGTTCAAGTGTCTATTTTGCATTAATTTTGCTTGCGCGTCTAAAATCGGTTATCCGTTGACACATGGGGTGTCTTACTAAGACAGGTGGTGTGCCTTTTTTTAGGTATACGACATGTCATAGTAAGACGCGCCACGTGTCAACGGATAACCGATTTTAGACGCTCAAGCGAAATTAATGCAAAATAGACACTTGAACTGTCTTGTAAGACGTATGGCATTTTTTAGAGTGAAACTGTCACCAAGAGCGCCATGTCCAAAATATTATTTTTACTATTCCTCTATCTTGGTGTTTCATAAAAACTACGTTATCTATTGCAGATCTCATCGTCCAATAAAATAATTAGTTTGTTCCGGCTAGATGATCCGGTTCGGCTATCTTCATACTAATGGATCCTTCTGTGCTCGTTTGTCTTTTTTTTTCTTTCTGACATAGATTGATGATTCATCGATGATTTTTTATTGGTTAAAATAAATGAAAAAAGCTTTCCAATGTTTATTTATTTATCATTTCAGTAATACATTTCATTGCCACAGAAGAATAACGATGACTAGTCAAGCTAAAAATACATTTGAAATTCCGAAATGGTTAGAAAATTTTCAAATTCTTTTCTTTGAATGAATTCAAGATTTTGTTTCTGTAGGGCTGGAAAACCAGTGGCTGGTCTACATTTAGATGTCGTCAAAGAGGGCAAATTGATACAAGTCTGTGTTAGATTATTTAGGTTATTTCGTTTCTTATCTTTTTTCTTTTTTTAGAAATTAATGATCGATGAGAAAAAATGTTATTTTTTTGGACGAAATAAAGAATTATGTGATTTTACTAGTAAGTTGTTGCTACTTACTTTTTTTTTACTTGAAACACAGTCAATACACTTATCAGTGTAAGTCACACAAACAACACTGTGTGATAACGGAGGCTATATTTAAAGTAAAATAAAAAGTACTTAGATTTTTATATAAAAACGAAATTTATTTTATTATGATTATTAGTTGATCATGCATCATGTTCGCGTGTTCATGCAGCACTTCTTTGGCATAAAGATCTTAATCGACCATTTTTAATTGATCTTGGTTCAAGTAAACTATTCCATTTATTTCTTTTTATTATAAATTTTGTTTCTGAAAATTTCGTTATTTCAGCACATGGAACATTTATAGGTCATATTCGACTTGAAAATCATAAACCACAACAAGTACATATTGATAGTGAAATACATTTTGGTGAATCAAGTCGTATATATATTATTCGTGAACGTCCACAAGTACATGGAAATAAACTTCATCATATATTTGGTAGTAATGCAAATACAAATAATTTAAATAATGATACTAATGGAGATCATAATGATGAAAATAAAGATGCTAATAATTCATTTTCAATACCAGAATCTGAAATAGAACTTGATGTAAGACATAAAATTAACAAAAAAACAAAAATTAAAATTGAAATTTATTTTTTTAAGAATTTAACTGAATTTAATACAGCACATAATCGACGTATTGCACAAATTGTTCAAATATCTGATTTACCTAATGTACCAACTGTTAAAAGAAAACGAAGAAATGTAACATTTAATGAAGAAGATGATGTAATTAATCCAGGTAAATTTATATGAAGATAAAAAAAGAATATCAAATAACTCCCCCTCCAAGAATAGAAGATCATAGATTTTCTGGAACTTTTGAGGGAACATTCCCAAGCGTCTAATCGCTTTTTGATTGATCATGATGAATAGTAAAAAAAAGGTCTGTTTTGATTTCGTTTTTTCGGCCTTTATTTGTCGAATTGTAGACGTTTTTTATTCGATTTTTATCCTATGAAGATAGAATTACAGAGAATTTGGATAATCGAAATTCGAGTTGAAATAATGTCCATAAATAGGCCTCAGAGTCACTAGAAACACCCTTACGATTGAGTCAGAACAAATGTATTCCTGATATTTTACATTTTTAACGACTCATCATGACCGATCGAATGGTATTAGTCTCAAAACGAAAAGCGATTGTACATTTGGGGATATTTTCTCGTTCGTTGCTAATTATCCCTATTCGAATATCAGAAAAATTTTTCGAAAACTCTTGATTTTCTAGGTAAATTTTAGCAAAAAAAATAATTCTCAATAGAGAACCATGGATTTTCATTTTGAGGAGATGAAAATAGTTTATTTCGTTGTTTCTGATATATTTAGAGGATGTCGATCCAAACGTTGGCCGATTTCGGAATCTTGTTCAAACAACAGTTATTGTACCAAAGGTTAGTAATGATCAAATTCCAAGTTCAATCAAATTGTAATTGAAAATTTTTTATGATCATAATGAAATCTACAATTAATTTCGTTTGTGAAATATTTATTAATGAATTTGAATAGAAGAAAAGAAAAATAACAATTTTTTTTAAAACTCTTGATAAGATATTTCTAATCTTGTATATTATAATTTATTTCTTAGAAACGAAAATTTGATCAGCCTGGTATTAGCCATCTTGGCCTTGATACAGCTCAAAAACATGGACAAGCATTTCATTATTCACAACTTTATGATGCAAATCATCCAATACATGCTACAACATCAATTGAACCATCGAATTCATTACAAGCTCAACATCTTAGTGTAGCAGCAAAACTTGGTAAAACTAAATAGTTTTTATTATTTTTTTTGTAAAACACGCATAGTAGCCATGGTTTATTTTCTATCAAAAACGCATTTTTTTCCATAGACATATTGATTTTCAATACTCAAAAAAAAAGTTTAATAGGAAAAAAAAAGTGAAACTCATACAAGAAGATTTATGGATGAGAGAACCTTTACACTCTAAACTTTTATCGAAAAAATCTTTATTTAAAATACCAACAAATGTCACATCATTCAATGCAGTTTTCCATGCTGATCCCATATATGTCCTTATTTTTCTTGTCAAGTACTTCTGAGAGAAAAGAACACGAGAAACCTTTAAAAACCAAGGTGTTTTAAAGAAAATCTGTATCTCAGTCAATAAATATTTATGCTAACTGAGTAGACATATCAGACAGAGAAAAATATTCTGTGAAAGTTTCATCGAGTTTGAAATTGTACTAAAGTATGCGCATCGAGATTACACTACACATCTTTTCAGAAAACTCTTAGTTGAGCAAGCAAGCATACTTTTTTCAAAACAAAATTCTCCATATAGAACAAGAACTCTACGATCTATTTCGTGTGTCTTTCTACATTCTTTGACAAAAGATACTTCTAAGATGATAGAAACTTGACAATGTTTTCGGTCTAGCGTATTCCTAAATTCTCAAAGAGTTAGAATAATTTTTTTACATAAAAATGTCGACTCTGAATAAGACATTATTCAAATCATTAAAAAAATATTATTTTCATTTCTTTCATCGCATTTCTACGTTGTTATCTACTGTGACATGATCTCAAAGAAGGACAGATATTTTAACAATGAGATACATCACAGATCATGACAGACACATTATTGATATCCGGTCTTATGAATAACATCTCGTTATAATATATGAACTACTTCCTTATTGCATTTCTGGAGAAGAATGGTGAAGAAATGTGTCCCAAAATAAATAGAATAAAACAATCTTTCTATGATTAACAATAACAGCTCCATTGTATTTCACATTTTAGTCCCGCAGGGATTGCACTAACAACCATCTTTTTTATTGATTGTTTTTTAAATGTTATGTTTTGTTAGGAATATCAATACCAAATTTAGCACCTGATCTACGTGAATATGATATAACTGAACCAGCATTAACAATACTTCCAAAGATTACACCCAATTCATTACAAGCATCAATGACAGAAATAAATAATGAAAGTATGGAACCGAAGAAAAAGAAATATGCTAAAGAAGCTTGGCCAGGAAAACGACCATCTGGTTCAATGTTACTTGTTAAATAAATAAATAAAAAAATGTTCTCATTTTGTATTTTCATTTTGTACAGTGGACTTATTTTGTTCTATTTCGTTCTCTAAAATCTATTGTTATAATCTGTATTCGAATCTTGCTTTCAGATGAATTTATATGCTTCATATGATGATAAAGATACTATTATTCATCGGTAAAATAAACTAATAATGATTTTTATAGTTCACAATTTTATTTTGTTCTAGACTTCAAACACATATAAGCATTCTTGAACAACAACAACAAAATTCGAATGGTTATTTTTCTTATGAAGAAACTTCATTATTAAATGAACAAGTATGAATAATTATTGAAATATTTATGATTGAAATTATTATTTTTTTTTGTATGTTATAGTATTCTATCGATAAAAATTCTAAAGAAGAGTTAATTGTACTTGAAAAACTTCTTCAGTAAGATTTTATTTTATTGAAAAGAAAAAATCTTTTTTTTTTTATTTAAGGAAACGTGAATATGAATTAGAACAATTACGTGAACAATTAAATGAATTTCAACACGAAGCAGATGAAAAACTTCATCGAACAATTGAACAAGTAAAATAAAGATTAAAATTTGAATTTTTATTTTTAATAATTTTTTTCTTAATATGTAGTTTAATGATGTAGAAAAACAATTATCTATAGTTGAATCGGAACGTAATGATCTTCGTCAACAACTTCAACATTTACAAGATGAAAATGATCTTATCAAATCTTATATGAATCGTTTACCATCAGAAATTGAATATCAAAAACTTCAAGAATCACATAAAATACTTGAAGATCAATTAAAACAATCCAATCAAACACTTATTGATTATCGAAAAGAAAAAAATCATTTAAAAAAACAACTTCTTACTTATCAATGTACTATTAACGAACAACAACAAACAATAAAATCTCATGAATTATCAACAGATAAATCTTTATTAAATGCTAAATGTTTAACAATAGATGAAAGAATTGAAACAGAAAAAAAATTTAAAGAATTTAATCAAATTATTCAACAATTAAATGAAAAGTTAAATGAAGAAAAATTAAATAGAAAACATGATCAATATCTTAATGAAAATAATATACGTACGGTTCAATCATTATCAAATGATATTACAAAAAAAGAACATACTATTAAAGAAATGACAAATCTTTTACGACAGGTAAATTAATTAATACTTTATGAGTATTAGTAAAAAAAGCTTTCAGCAGAGCTATATTCGACTTCATTTTTCCAAACATTTATTTGTTTGAGCTTTTGACTCAGAGTGAGCCACGCTAAAAAGTCTAATGCCGTTTCGGTAACTACTTTTCCGATGGTTTCGATAAATCTAATCTGGTTCCAATTTCAGTCTAGAGACAACTATTTCAGAGTTTATTCATATCACATCTAAATAATTCTTCAATACTCGCTCCTTTGATTCCTTTATTAGTCGAGAACTAGCACTTTTTTTGGATGATTTCTCTCGAATTAACTATACTATAATCTTTAGTCCGGTTGGCACAGTTTTTTTTTCTTACAGTCCCCAGTAGCAGTCTGGTCCTGGAAGATATTCAATCAAGCCTCTTATCTCTTTAGTAAAAACACGTTGAAACAAAAAATTTTCTCCCCTATTGAACTCTCAACAGCTCAGTTTTGTTATACATTCATAAACAAAAATTACCAAACCATAATTTTCAGTTCAAATTCTTTCCTTGTTTTGTTTTTGAATTAAGTATCAACAAGAATCGTACTTGGATCAGTAGAGTAAAAATATTAATCTTTCGCAATATTATTCTCACGTAATGTGAAATATTTATTGTCGTTTAAAATAGTACCACAATCACGAGAAGTCATTTTGTACGTAGTTCTTTCTAACTAGTTTTTTGCTTGAGCTCTATTGTCCATTTTTGGAGAATTTCGATGTTGTCTGATAACAACTAATGTTCTTTTTTGTGTGTTACGACTAATTGTTGATTGGTTAACGTTAAAATTCATAGCTAGTTTACGCTGAATGAAACCATAACGATTATCAACAGGTCTCAGCAAATGGTTTAATTTTTTTTAATCAGAAAGTTTTACTGGACGATGATTCTTTGGTGAAAATTTCGGTCGTTCATATTTCAAATATTTGTTCAATATGTAATAAATTGTTACTCTTAGAATATCTTACTTTATAAAATAATTAACTATTGTTTTACAGAATTTAATTGATACATCAATCCAAAAGAAAACTTGTAAATTCGTTGTGTGAATATTTTTGTCTTTCTTTCTGTGTACTTTTTTTTAACAATTTATATCAAAATTAAGTTATATATAGTTCAATAAATGGAAAAATTTCCTATCATCTCACAAAAAAATATTCTCGTTCCAACATGTGTTAACTAAAGAGATACCGGGTTTAATATTTTTTATCGTTATTTTGCATTATATGAAAAAATACGGACTCATTTTTGAGTGTGCTTTTCGTTGCTATTGCGTCATTTCGTTTTGTGATCGTTTGATAAAAATAAGTTATATAACGATTTGAAAGAGAAATAGAAGTCCACATTTGTCCAATTACTTTATGTATCATATGTCATTTCTCTAGAGAAATCAAAATTCAATGAATTATGTAGAACATTTAATCACATGTTGTTTTTGAATAATTTTTCTAAGTACAAGACAATATTTTGAGTTGTCACTAGTGAATACATGGACAGTATATGACCTAGATATATAGGATACATGTAGACTATGGTAAAAATATTTATACTACTTTTATAAAATGACAAAAGATAAGTTCAATTTGCTTGTAAGAGAAGCTTGCTGATTTTCACGCTTTAATCGTTCAATAGAGTTTTGAAAGTTGATGAAAAAAAATCTGTAGGTTGCCTTTATTTGAGAAAAGCAACTGTTGACACTTGTGTCTTCATAACCCATAAACTTTTTCTTTTTCTTTTCTACTCGTTGAAATTTCTTGTTTCATTTTCTCCAAGGATAAAAGTTGGAGTTTCCGGTTTTATTCTCACTCGTTTTTTTAAGAATCGACAAGAGTTAGACGACCTTCGAATACGTTTACTTGTTAGTGAACAAGAACAAACATGTTTAAATGAACGATTATTAACAAATGATCAATTCTTTATGGCTTTACAACGTGTTCATGCTACTGTTGAAAAATTATTTCTTGTACTTGATTTTTCATCTGAAATGCTCAATAATGAATCAATATCCAGTCCTGATATACTTATGCTTCAATTATCTAATCATAAAACTAAGTCAGGTAAATCTTTGCTGTTTTTTTTATTATAGAAAAATAAAATATTAAATGAACTAATTTTTTTTTCTTGTTAGATCCAATTGATTCATCAATAGAGAATGTCAAAAAAATTGAATTATGTGATGTAGAAAAATTAGAATCAAAATTAGATCATATTATTGATCGTCTTTTATCAATTCGTAGTGAATTAATAGCTCGTCAGTTTGAAAATGATCTTGAATCAAATATTTCTTGTCGCTTACAGTGAATCGTTTTTTTTGTTATAATCAGATATTTTCTTTTTCCATTTTTTACATTAAATAAATAAATTAGTATTGATAATATGTTGAGAATCAATTGTGTCCTTCTTTTTTTTTTTAGAAAAGATTATGTTAGTCAATAATGATCATTTAGGTGTAAACACATTTGTAGCCAGTAGTCATGGTAACGATCAATGCGGTACAAATGGATTACCATTAACACCGAATTCAATTGTTATTATTGGACGTTTTCAATATTTAAAAACTATAGAACATCCAAATCTTTGTCGATATATTGATATTCGTAAAGGAACACATGGTAAATAAAAAGAAACAAATTAGAGATATGAACAGTTACTCTATCCTGCAGGGCAGGGTGAGAATAGGAAAATTTTTCTCAGTCACGGTGAGAGATGTGCACCATCGCTAAAAATCGGCGAGCGGGCTGCGGAAAAAATGAGTTAAACTTTCAAATAGTGACGGGGATGCTAATCGCTCCATAAGTGTTTTTACTGAGTGGAACGGCCGCACCGTTATTTTCCTAAGGATCGAACGGTGCGGTCGCTCCGCCAAACAGCCGTTCAATAGCTACCGAGCGGCCGTGAGAGTGGGTGTTTGAAGTTGTTTTTTCATGATTTTTTTCATAGATTTATTGCGACAATATGTTTAATGAATATCGCTTAATATATTGATCCCGTAAGCTTGTCTCAATGTAATTCAATAAATATAAAAATAGATCGATATGATCGAAAAAGTTATTAAAGATTAACGCAATACTAGTATAGAAGATGGCTCTTTTATTACATCATAGAGAAGGAATAGCAAGACGACAGCACAAACCCATGCGATATATATGATAAAGTACAGAACATGCATAAAGCAGATTGAGAGTGACAGAACGAAAGAGAAAGAAAGTAATCTTTTTTATTTATCTCTGCCTTCGTAAAGAATACAAGAATTATCGGTATCTAGGAGGTTAATGGTGTAATATATCAACCAATACAGTCACAGATTAAGTTTGTAGTCAAGAGGGATATACGACAAAGGTGCAAATAAATAAAATGATGAAATATGATGAAAACACAAGAAGTTGAAGTCAACAATGTATGTATGTAAGCAGTATGTGTAACGAAAGAAGTAATAGAAACAAAGAAACAATGTATAAATGGCTTCATAGAACACCTACTATAAAATAAAACATATTTTGTTAATCAAAATTCATCCATTGTAGAATTTTAAAATGATATTTATATCAAGTATGGGTACGAAGTTCATGTTTCGCTATTTATTATTATTATTTAATAGAAAAAAGGACACCAATGTTGCTATAAGGTATTAAACTCGCCCTGGGTTTGTCAGTTTCAACTTCAAAACATAATTCCTTACAGCATGGTCCAATTAAGGTTATGCGGTCGCTCAGGCAGTAAAGGAGGTGAGGAAGGCCGTGCCGCACCAGTCCCACTCATAAAATTGAAAAGCGGTGTGATCGCTCCGCATCTACATTGCACACCTGCTTGAGCGGTGCACATCTCTAATGTGCAGGACCTAGTTTTGATAGTTCCGATCCTAGCAACTTTTTTAGTGGTCTCACTTCCACTAATTTTAGTTTTTCGGATCGTGGTCTAGAGAAGACTATTCCAAAATTTATTCGCATCATATTTAAAAAACTTCTTCAATACCTGTTTTTTGATGTTGAAAATCATAGAATATTTAATTGTAATCTTTAGCTCCAATTCGGACCACTTTTTTCTCGTAGTTCTGATCTCGACCCTCGCAAACTTTCAAATTTTGGTCTCGCACCCATAAATCTCTATAAGGGAGGAACTGAAGGTGCTAGCTCTTCCTACTTTTTGCTCTGCGTTGGCGAAAATTGTTTGCCGAGTTCTGGAAGACAACTCTTTCTCTGTTTCACAGTCTGCGAAATTGTAGCTTCTACCACTCTTGAAAGTAATCAAGAACCATGCTCGCATATCTCTAGTCAGGGTATGAAACAAACTTGCCGTGTACATCTCTAAAAAGAATAAACTTAAGATCATATTTATGTTGAAGATTTTTTTTTTTTGTTTTTTTAGAACGATTACTTGTTGTTAGTGAATATTATGAAAGGAATTTGGAATGTATACTAAATGAAAAACAATTATTAAGTATTGAACAAATTCAACGATGGTCACATCAAATACTTTATGCATTAATTTATTTACAAGAAAAACAATTATATGCAAGAAATATATCTTTAAAAAATATTCGATTAACACAATCAGTAAAAAGAAAAAACAAAATTGTTTTTAAAAGAATCTTTCATTGGTTTTTTTATCTATTCATTAATTTAGGATCAAATAGTTAAAATACAAAACTATGGTCTCTGGCATATGACACAATATGGTACATGTGTTTCGTTTCCTATTGGGTATGTTTCATTGCTGAAAATTTTATTGTTAATATGAATCGGATGTTTCATTTTTAGTGATCCATATTATTTAGCCCCTGAATGTTTTGCACTTGATTTAACATTTAAAGCTTTTGTAAAAGCTAGTAGTAGTCCTCATGAAGCTGAAATTGATGATCCAGCTAATGCTAAAAGTTGTATTTGGTCATTTGGTATTATCCTTCTTGAATTATGTTTAGTAAGATAATCTATGATAATAGATTAAGAGAGAACTAAAGTTTTTTATTTATTTAGGGTCATCGATTATATGGAAAACAACCAGTATCTGTACCAGTGTCAGCAAGTGTTCGATGTTTAAAATTAAATGTACGAAGTGCATTAGATATTTTATTACGACAAAATGCACTTGATCAACATGAAAGTTTAAAAAGAAATATAACACAATTTTTTTTACCTATTATTAGAAAATGTTTGAATGTTCATGTTCAAGATAGGTTAGTTGGTTTTTTGATATAAACAAAAAAAAAAACAAACGTAATCAATATATTAATGATAGTCAAATGAAAGACAAATAATGCAGTAAATTAAAATTAAGAATTATCAAAGAGATTAAAAATAATCTAAAAGTTTGTTGTGGAGTAAAATTTTTCGATTGTGAACATCATCGAAAATATTCAAAAATGTTCAATTTAGAGAGTTGATACATAGTTTGTTGTAAAATGAAAGATTTGTTTCAGAATATCTGCTTTCACACCTAGTCTTGTTTTAAATTCAACTTTTTCTTGCAAAGTAATCTTGTATCATGATGTCATTCTTTTCTTTACACTTAGAACAGTCGAATCATACATAAAATATTTATAAGAAATAGATGATAAGCAATAAAAAGAAGTCACAGAAAAAACATTGCATATATGTGCACAGTTGAGAGCTTCTAATACCAAGAGAGATCATACAAAGTTACTCACATTACGGAGTATTATTTTCATCAAAAATTGCTCGCTCGGGTTTGAGATTGTTCATAATTAGGAGATGATCATCAGTAGAGATTTTACGATATAATTGTTCGAAAACTCAAACATCTTGCGTTTTTCTAATCTGTTCATCGATTTCAATCTAATCTGGTAATGGCGTGGGACATAATAACAAAACTAATACTTTCAAAACTTGACGAGCATCAATAGTTTGTATTACTACTAATATAACATATCTCCAAAAATTTTAAAGTATTAGAATATTTCTAGTTGTGCAGAAAGTCTTTATTTTAAGTGTCTCAATATTACTTCTAGATAAAATACAAAATGAAATAACATATCACATTCTGATTCTTAGAAACATCGAATGATAAAGAAAAAGAAACAGATTTCAAGACATTGTTTAATATCAACAAGAAAAAGAGTGTTTATTCTTGGTTAGAGATTGCAGAGTAAGCTTTTACCGCATCCTATACATTGACTGAAACATAAATTTTCTAACCCCCTACCCTATCCTACAAAGTTTTTATCTCTTTCTACTTTAATCCTACTTTAGTTGAAGGTTGTTCGGCGGCCCCGACTTTGGTTTCTAAAATATTACGTGAAATAGAAACCGTTAAATCATCAGATGAAAACTTTAAATCTATTTTGAGAAGTTTTCACTATTAAAGTTTTTGAGATTAAAGGCGCCACATATTTCAGTATTTAAGCAAAACAATATTATAAGTGTATTCTGAAGTCTTCAATCTCAAGAATAAAGAAAAAAGAAGATTTCTCGATATAGATTTAAGAATCTTTGTATCTATCCGATGATTTAACGGTTCCGATTTGGTTCTCGATTCCAGTTTTTTGAAACCGTCGAACTCTAGTTGGTAGATTCTAAAAGTGATAAATAGCAAAATAATACATGGGAACAAAGTTCGTGGCATTTTTCCTATCAATATATCTTTGCAACTACTTGAACAATTTTAACAAATAAATACTTCTTTGTAAATTGTTGAGCTTTTCATGCTGCATCTTGTGGTATATTTTATTTTTTTTAATAGAATGTATTAGGTGATGAAAAGATGAAATGAATTATTCCCGTAGAAAAAGGATGATCTTTTCACAACGTCGAAAATCAGTCGCACAGAATTTTGTTTTTTTTGAGAACAAAAAGTGCACAATTAAAATGAGCTTTACTTTGTAGATTGTACAGTTTTTCACGCTGCACCTTGTAACATATTTTGTTTTTTTAATACAACGTATTAAGTGATGGAAAATTGAAATGCAAAATGCAGTCGTTTAATCTGGCTCACCTGTTATTTTTTGAGATGTGTGGGATAGAGTAACTTCGTACATCCCATGTAAAAATAAAAAGGTATGTAACGAAATGATTCTTCAAATAAACGCAAAAAAATGCATTAAAAGACAAATTAACGAAATTTCACGAAGAAAATTTCATGAACTTTCGTTATATTCCGAAAACTCGTGTAAATGCATTAGATTTTTCACGCTTT